ACACTTAGTATTAAGGAGACAACCGAACCCAAAAAATGGGCAGAAGATCTGAACAGCGACTTCACAAAAACAAATATATACATGGTCAATAAACACATGACAGGACGCCAGGGTGGCTCAGTTGGTTAAGCATCTGTCTTCAGCTCAGGTCATGATCCCAGAGTCCTGGGATAGAGCCCAGTGTCTGACTCTCTGCTCAGAGGGGAGCCTGCTTCTCCCTCTGTCCCCCGTTCCCTCCCCACTCATGCTCTCTCTCACAAGCTCTATCTCAAATAAATAAATAAAATCTTTTTAAAAAATTTAAAAAGCCACAATGAGATACACCTTACACCGACTAAGATGGCTATAATCAAAGGACAGTAACAGGAGGTGACAAGTATGTGAAGAAACTGGAACCCTCAAGCATTGCTGGTGGAAACATAAAATGGTGCACCCGCATTGGAAAACAATGTCTTAGTCCATTCGGGCTGCTATAACAAAATACCACAAACAGTGTGGCTTATAAACAGCAGAAATTTATTGCTCATAGTTCTGGAGGCTGGAAGTCCAAGATTTTGGTACCAGCATGGTTGGGTTAAAGTGAGGACTCTCTTCGGGGTTGCAGGCTCTAAACTTCTGGCTGTGTCCTCACATGGCAGAAGGGATGAGGAGCTCTCTCAGGCCTCTTTCATAAAGGCACTAATCCCATTCCTAATCACCTAATCACCTCCAAAAGGCCCTACCTCTAATACCATTACCTTGGGGATTAGGATTTCAACATAAAAATTTTGGGAGGCCTCAAACATTCAGACCAAAACAAACAGTACAGCAGTTTCTCAAAATGTTAAATACAGATTTACCATGTGACCAGCAATTCCACTCCTAAGCCTCTACCCGAGAGAAAGGAAAATATGTGTCTGTACAAAAAGTAGAATATGAATGTTCACAGCAGCATTTTTCCTAACAGCCAAAAAGCATAAACAACCCAAATATTATCCATCAACTGGTGAACAGATTAAATAAAATGCGGTATATTCATACACTGGAATACTATACTATTTAGTAATAAACAAGAACAAAGTATTGATACATGCTACAACATGGATGAACCTCAAAACATTATGCTGGGTGAAAGAAACCAAACACAAAAGACCACATATCGTCTGACTCCATTTACATGAAATCTCCAGAGAAGGCAACTTTTGAGAACAGAGAATTGATTAGTGGATGCCTAGGGATAGGAGGTGGGAATGGAGAATAAACTACAAATGAATACATCTTCTTTGGGAGATGATGGAAATGTTCTGAAATAAAATTACGGTGATTATTGCACAACTCTCTACAAATCACTGAATTGTACACTTAAAAGAGGAGAGTTTTATAGTACATAAGATATACCTCAAAAACTTTTTTAAAAAAATACTCAACCTCATTAGTTGTCACTGAAATGCAAATTAAAGCCACCATGAGCTACCAATACACAGCCACTAGAATGGCTAAAATTTTAAAGATTGACAATACTAAGTATCGGTGAGGACAGGGAACAACTGGAATTCTCATACACAGCTGATGAAGACATAAAATGGTGTACTGGGTGTGAATAACATTCCCCAAAATAATATGTCCAATCTTAACCCACGGTTATCGTAAATGTGATCTTATTTGGGAAAAAAGGGTCTTTGTCGGTGTTATTAAACTTTGGATCTTGAGATTAAGATCATCCTGGGTTTAGGGCAGGCCCTAAATATAATGACCGGTGTCTTCACTAGAGAAAGGAGAGGGAGATTTCACACACACACACAGAAAAACACTGAGAGGATGGCCATGGGAACACAGAAGCCAACTGAAGTTATGGGGCCCAAACCAAGAAATACCAGGGGACACCAGAAGCTAAAGGAGGCAAGGAAGAATTCTCTCCTAGAGCCTTCAGAAGGACCAGGACCTGTGAAAACCCTGCATCCAGACTTACCTTTAGAACTAAGACAGAATTGGGGCGCCTGGGTGGCTCAGCCATTAAGCGTCTGCCTTCGGCTCAGGTCATGATCCCAGGGTCCTGGGATTGAGCCCCGCACTGGGCTCCCTGCTCTGCAGGAAGCCTGCTTCTCCCTCTCCCACTCCCCCTGCTTGTGTTCCCTCTCTTGCTGTGTCTCTCTCTGTCAAATAAATAAATAAAATCTTTAAAAGAAAAAAAAACCTAAGACAGAATAAATTTTGTTGTTTTAAGACATCAAGGTCATGGAAACTTGTTCTAGCAGCCCTAAAAAACTAATGAAAATGGCAGAATCACTTTGGCAGTTTCTTGTAAAGCTAAACAAAGAACTGAGCAATTGGAATCCTGAGTGTTTATCCAAGAGAAACAAAGACAACGACTTATACATGAATGGTCATAGCAGCTTTTTTACGTAACAGCCCCAAACCAGAAACAATCCAAATGTTCTTCAGCAACAGGTGAATGAATAAACAATACATGTAGATCCACGCAGTAGACTATCACTCAGTTATAAAAAGGAATGAACTACTGATACACAGGACACCATGAATCTCAAAAAAAATCTCAAAAATGCTGAGTGAAAGTAGACAGGCTCAACAGTACATACAGTTTGTTTCTATTTATATGAAATCCTAGAAAATAGAGACTCATCTACAGTGACAGAAAACATTATTGATGATTGCTTGGGAGCCAAAGTGGGGAAGACACTGACTACAAATAAAGAGGAAATTTCTAGAAGGGATTGAAAGGTTATCTATGTCAACTATGATGATGGTGTCGCAGGTGTATACACCTGTCAAAACTCGTCAATTGTACACTATAAATGGGTGCAAATTATTATACATAAATTATACCTCAATAAAGTTGATTAGAAAATAAAGTCACGAGTAACTGACCATTTTCTATTTAAGATTTAAAACTTAGTGGCCTACACTTTGTTCTAACCAATAATATGTTCATAAGTAAATTTCAAATAAATATCAAAGGAATTCTTTAAACAGGAAGACAACTTGCTCTATCAATTCAACATGTTTCCCATGCTGAAAATGGAAAAAAGCTTTGAGTCAGAAGACCTGGTTCTGGGCCCTAGTTCCACACTTGGCTTGGGCAAGTCATGATTTCCTCAAGCCTCAGTTTCCACATCCATAAAAGGTGGATGACACTATCACACAGGCAAAGGGTAAGGTTTCAGTAGAGTAAAAGCTCCTTTGTCCAGAGATTCTATCTTAGCTTAAGCCATAATCCCAGTGTCTAGTAAATAATAGATGCTCAATAAATCAACAGAATGAGTAACAGAAATGTAAAGCTAAAAGGTGAGAAAGACATCATACACAGCACCATTGGGTGACAATTACCTCTTTCTCTGCACTGTTGTAGACTAATGCAGAAGGATCCTCCCCCCTCTAAATCCATCTTTAGTATACTATTTCACAGGCAGACTCTAGCATGAAAAATTCAGGCCCCTGGTGAAACCTTGTTACAACTCAGGACATTATAGGACAGATTTTATTTTTTTTTAAAGATTTATTTAATAAATAAATAAGAGAGAGAAATCACATAGGGAGAGGGAGAAGCAGACTCGCCACTGAGCAGAGAGCCCGATGCGGGGATCAATCCCAGGACCCCAAGATCATGACCTGAGCCAAAGGCAGACACTTAACCAGCTGAGCCCACCCAGGCGCCCCCAGATTTTATGTTTTAAATCCATAGAAGTATCACCCTAAGACAAACTCACTTGCAGGATTCTAAATTCTACAAGAGCAAGAATTGTGTCTGTTTTAGTTACCACTGGTCCTCACTTCTAATATTTGCCTAATATAGAGTAGGCAACATAACAGCATGTGTAAAGGCTATGTAAACAGATAAAGCAGGAAAGGGGGCCTTTTAAGAAGGCCAAAGTGGCTGATGGGTAGAGAGCAAGCAGAGTGTCATGTCCCATGAGGCTGTAGAAATAAGTAGGGTCCAAACCATGCAAGACATTGTAGGCCATGTGAAGTTTTCTCTTTCTCCTAAGGGCAACAGAACGTCATGGAAGATTTTTAAACAAGTGGTTGGCAGAGGGGGGAGGAAGGAAAGGGACATGATTAGATTTGCACTTCGAAAATACCACTCCCCATAGTGTGCAGAAGAGACTGGTTGTGTGGAAGGGGACAAGGGAGTTGTTAGGGTGTAGAGTAAGTGTAGACCAACAAGGAGACTCTTGTAACATCCATTAAAGAGATAATGGTAGCTTGGTCCAAGGTGGTGGAGATAGAAAAAGTGCACAGGTTACCGACTTATGTAAAAAACCAACAGGACTTGATTTGGGGAGTGAGAGAAAGGAAAACAATTGTTCTGAACCTTCAGTCTTCATAGGTAAAACAGGACTATTGATACTGCATCTGCATAATATCTATCTCGCAATCTGCTATGGTAAGAACATGAAATAATATAAATTTTACGAACTTAAGGCAGATCCTGACATGTAATAAAAGCTAAAAAAAAAAAAAAAAAAGTCGCTGTAGATGTTATTACTGCCATCCATGGAATGGCAACTACCAGAAGCCAAACCCCAAAGGTGGAAAACAGGATTGTAGTTAGATTCATATCCGCTGTGCTGAAGACAACAGGCAGCCACTGAAGACAACTGTTCCAAACAAACACATCTGACCGCACAGATACTTCATCTGAACCAATCCCGGTCCTCGGAAACCATTACTGAAGGGAAAGAACAACTGTTACGATCACAGTCATCCCGGTAAACTGAGGCACCAGGGTAGCTCCAGATTTGACCAAGGAACGAGGTGCAGAAGCAGGAAAAGGAAATGGGTGTCGTGATTCTCACTGGTGAGCAGATCCAACAGGACTAGGCCTGCATCCTGACCAGCATGAATGTATATCCCCCAATGTCTCTGGTTCCCTTACTGACAAGGCCCTGTCATCCCTTGGCTTAAGACCCTGAGTCCGCTTGCCATGCAACCAAGCCCTTCCGGTTCCCGGCCCCTAGCTACAAGTGCACGGAGGATCCCAGACTCCCGAGAGGCCGACATACCTTAGCTTCGCGCTCTCGTTCCTCGGCGGTCGGAGTCCGCTTCATGCTGCCGCTACAGCCGCCTTCGCCACTGCTAGCCGCGTAGATCCCTCTCCCTGGACCCCGCCTCCTGCTTGTAGTTCTCTCAGCGTCCTGCTCCCGCCCGGCGCCATTCTCCGTCCGAGCCATGAGAACTACCATTCCCAGGATGCAAGGCGGCGGCGCTCGAGAGCGCCTCAGGGTTTGGGGCACGAGCATTTCCCAGGGCCGACAGCTCCTCAGCGAGCGGGCGGGCTAGGGCTGGAGCAAAACTACATTTCCCAGGAGGCAACGGAGCCTGCCATGTTTTTCCCGTGCTCCTCTCGGCCAGCCGCCCAACACGCCGTCGGCGCTATAGCAACGGTAGCTAGCCGCGGGGAGAGAGTGGCGGTGAGTACTCCGGGGGAGTCAAGGGGGACGGAGGTGGCCCACCCTCTACCTGCAGCACGGGTCGGGGTCCTGGGGTCAGCTCTACGCCCTAGAGAAGGCACTAGAGCTCTGCTCGCGTGAAAAGCAGCCCAGCACGGGACCACATCCTCAGGCCTGAATCACAGCCCGCGCATTATCCCCACGCCCAGCACCGGTTTGAAATTTTATATATATCCCAGCCTTAAACCCTAGCTGATGAGAGTTGATGCTAATTGCCGTGCCTCTCCAAGTCCTTCAAGTAGAAGGGCACATAAACACAATTCTTTCATTAGCCCTGGGTTAAGGGTTGGTTGGTAGACCCTTAAGCTTCCTGAATGGCCTATTGTTTGCTTAATTATTTATAATTATGTGTTTATCGTCTGATTACCCCCATAGCTTATTAACTGCATAAAGGCAGGGATTCTGTTTACCATTTTAGTCTCAATGCCAGGTATTCATTTAGTCATGAAGTAAATATTAATCTCGGGACCAACCTTGCCCCAGACACTATTCCCTACTGCTGTGAATAGGGCTGATACCCATCTCGAGATGCTTATACTTTATTAGTGGAGACAGACTAGTAATGAGCTAGTAAACAAGATAATTTTAGGTAGAGATGATTGCTACCACGGAAATGAACAGTGAAGAATTTGGGAGGAAGAGTACTCTGACAGAAGGTGATCAGGGAAGGCATCTCTGAGGAAGTGACATTTGAGCTGAGCCCCAAAGAATGAGGAACCAGCTAATGCAAAGGCTTTGAGCAAGACAAGGGTAACGTGGATTTGAGGAACCTAAAGGAGGAGTGTTGAGTGGAGCATGGTGAGAGCAAGGAAGGATAACATTAGATGGTATTGAAGAGGTGTGACAGCACTGTACAGGGTTTGTCAGTCTCCGCGCTATTAATATTTGGAGCCAGATAATTCTTTGTCGTGGTTCCTGTGCACTGTAGGATGTTTAACATCATCTCTGACCTCTAGATGCCAGTAACACTGCCCTCCACCTTCCCAATCGTGACAATCAAAAATATGACCAGACAGCCACCTCTTAGATGCGTAACATTGGGCAAATTCCCTAAGCTGTGTCTTGGTTTTGTTCATTTGTAAAGTAGGAATCATTTGAGTAACAACCTCACAGGGATATTGTGAGATACTTGATTAATTCGTATTATCGGAGCACTTGGAAGAGCGCTTGGCACATTTTAGTAAGCATTCAGTAAATGTTAATACCACCACCACCATCATCATTATTGTAAAAGTTACCATAACTCTATCATGGCAGAGTTAATCATTTTCACAAGTGTCCTATGTTTAAACTGCTTGACAATTTGGACCAAATAAAATGAATAAAGCATTATAAATAAATAAAACTGATCTTTCCTGGAGCAATGTTTCCAAAAGAAGTAGAAAGTGATCCCTCAGGTATATGTCTGTTCATTGTTTATGCCACAGTTAGATGCAGTTGACCTTTGACAAGTTATAATAAAGGTTATGAACCCTTTCCCTAAAGATATTGCATATACACATATGCATACAAGATCTTATAAACCATCTCTTGGGTCTACAGACCCTAAAGCTCCATGGGTTCCATTCATTCAGCCACTATTTAGCGAATGCCTGCTATGTGCCAAGCTCTGTGTTGGCCTCTGAGAATACCATGCAGAGATGCACAAGACAAATAAGCCACGTGTTCTCTTGGACTTTACATTCTAGGCCCAACATTCTAGAGATTGAGAACCTCTGCCTTAGGGCATCTTCATTTGGCTTTTGGGGTGATTTGAAATGAAAATATAAAATCTTTTTTTTTCTACATACTAGACATTGCACGGACCGTTTATAATAACCACATACAAAACTGAGTCACTGTGGTGCATCTCTGGAGAATAGGAACGGTAAAGATACCAGAATTAACTGCACAGCTTGTATGTTGAGGGCGAAAGCCCCGGGACTGGGACTCATGGCAACAAAGACAGGACAACAACGACAAACGCAGCCGGTGAATTTATGAAACATCTTTGATAAAACTTGGACCTACCCGCTCATTTGTACACCAAGCTAAAAATTAATATTCAAGTAATATTGACATCCCAGGCAAATGTGCTAACTGCTTTTAATTTGCCATCTCACCCTTGGAATAACTCTGTGAGATAGCTGTTATTTTCTCCATCCTTAAAGTTAAAAGAACGGTGGCAACTGGCTGGCTCAGTTTTCAGTAGAGCGTGTGACTTGATCTCGTGTTGGGGGTAGAGTTTACTTAAAAAAAAAAAAAAAAAAAAAAAAAAAATATATATATATATATATATATATATATAAATATATATAGGGGCGCCTGGGTGGCTCAGTCGGTTAAGCGTCTGCCTTTGGCTCAGGTCGTGATCTCAGGGTCCTGGGATCGAGTCCCACATCGGGCTCCCTGCTCCACGGGGAGCCTGCTTCTCCCTCTGCCTGCCATTCCACCTGCTTGTGCTCCCTCTCTTTCTCTGACAGATAAATAAAATGTTTATATATATACGTATATATAAAACAAAGTAAAATGACTTTTAAAAAAATAATAAAATAAAATTAAGGAACTGAAACTCAGCGAGATTAGGTGACTCGACCAGCTAGTAAATAATAGAACAACCGTTTGAATCAAGTTTTCCGACTAGGTTTTTTCCAAGATACCTGCTTGCTTTGGGGGGCAGGGAAGGGGGTGGGGGACAGAGAGGAAGTATTTCTTAAATTTGGGGGAATTGTTTTTGTTCAGATCAAGAAATGAGAGAAGGAAGAATGATATTCTTACCTCATTTCCTAAGCAAACTATAGGAAATATACTGTTGAAAGGAACACTGATTGAATGTAGTATTGTTTTTAAAATAGAAGCTTTCACCTTCTTCAAGCAGCACATCTGGACAATAGATGTCCGTTAAAGTCATAATGCTTTATTCATTTTATTTGGTCCATTCCATTGCATAGTTAATATTATACGTTGGAAAGATCTTATTTGAATTTTCTTTTCTCCACAGATAGGCCATGTCTCGTCCCACTGATGAGACGGCAGGAGACCTGCCTGTGAAAGATATAGGTCTAAACCTCTCTGGAATGGGAGGGTTACAAGGTATGGCCAGCTGTTATTTATTATCGTTATGAACTTTGATCAGTAACTTCTTTTCTTTTAATTTAAAATATTTCTGATATCCTTACAAACGAAGCCATTTAAGTAACTATATAGCTCTTGATTGGACTAAACAGGAACACGGAGAGTTTAGAACAACATATGGTATTTTACTGCATGCATCAATTATCAACAGCTCATAGAAAATGTAAAATCCCCCTCTGTTCTGATAAAGAATTGTTATAAATCATCTTTTTAAAATTCCACACATCAGTGGAAACTACACAGAGAGTATCAAGCCTCCAAACCGAATTGCCTGGTTTAAATCACATTCACCATTAAAATGTTTCTTTATGTTTAAATTTTATATGGGGGGAAATGCCATATTTAAAAAATTTTGCCTTTCAAGTAGAGTATCTCAAAATGGTTTGTTTATCCAAGTGATACTGACTTTGTTTTATCAAATTACTATACATTAAAGGTTTCCTTTATCCTTTTATCACTTAGTGGTTGCCCTAGAGCTAAAAAGTCACTTTCAAATTGAGAATGAAAAACACTGCTTTGAGGAACAATTCAGAGTGTAGAGTTGTGTTTTTGTTTGTTGTTTACATGTCAGCTCTGCTCTCATGCTACTGCATTTGTCATTGAGACTGCTGTGATATCAAATATATTCCACTAAGGTGTCTTCATACCCCTGTTAATTAGAACAATTCGAGTGGCCACCTTGAACTACCACAGAAAGGTGGTCAATGCATTGTTCATTGAAAAGGATAAATTTGACTATACAGGTTTTATTTTTGAAAGTAAAAAGTATGTATAAGCTTTGCTTTAGATCTTTGGTGGAGTACTAGGTATTCAAATACAAATAAATGTCACTTGTGCAAAGCTGTTTATTGGAATTTGCTACCTTAAGTTCAATTCTTGTCCTCAGTAACCCGCCATAGGGGCTTTAACCTTTGTCCACTTGCTCTTTGTTTCTTTTGGATGATTAATGCAAATTAGCCAGTGATATGGGAAATACTAAATTTAAGCATATGTGAAAAATCATATACACATGTTAAAAGGCATAAAAGTTCTTTAAAAATACATAAGATAGAGCGCCTGGGTGGCTCAGTCCTTAAGCTTCTGCCTTCAGCTCAGGTCATGATCCCAGGGTTCTGAGTCCCATATCGGGCTCCCTGCTCGGCGGGAAGCCTGCTTCTCCCTCTCCCACTCCCCCTGCTTGTGTTCCTGCTCTTGCTATCTCTCTCTCTGTCAAATAAATCTTAAAAAATTAATAATAATACATAAGATAGCTTATAAATGATTTTTGAAGGTTTGTTGTTTGTACTTGCAAATTACAGTTTATTTTCTAGAACCCAAAACCCATACATAGCTCTGAAAAATATCCTATGTTCACCAAATTATAACTCTTGCCTCCGTAAAAAAAAAAAAATACTTTTAGATAATCTGACTTTTGTTTTTTTCAACATTGAGCATGTAAGTTGAAAAGTCTTATTGAATCAGGGTTCCATCTTACATTCTTAAAGAATGGTTACCTAAATACCATTTTGAATGGATACC